CACTTTTATTGTGGTCATGCTGTGAAATTGGATGAAAAGTGTTATATATTTATGTTCCTGTCACTAAATATGTTTCTGCCTGAGCAGAAGAGATCTTTCATTTCATTTTTTTTTTTATCAATAGTTAAAGAATATTGACTTGGATACTCATGACAATTGAGTTACTCAGTTCATCATAGCAGGGAGATATAGATTACTTTTATATTGACAAGAAAGACAACAGAACACCCATTGATACCTAATCACCCCCTCCCCCCTTCCATCCACGCAGGCGACAACAAACCCATCTGGCAGGTGGCTGAGGAGCGTGAGGAGAACAAGAACAAGGTGAAGGACTCTGCTCCCTATGGCGAGTATGGCGGCTGGCACAAGGCGGCCAAGGTTGACTCGCCAACTGTGACCACGACCCTGAAGAACCTGGGTGCCCTTTACCGGCGCCAGGGCAAGTACGAGGCGGCTGAGACCCTGGAGGATTGCGCCATCCGGTCACGTAAGGAGGTCAGCTGATGATGAAACCCTGATCCCAAGACCCTTAAGCACACAGACGCTGATAACATGATGATTTTGATTTGATGATGATGGACTTGCTATTATTTATTATTATAATTATTTATTATTATTGATATTATTATTATTATTATTATTATTATTATTATTATTATTATTATTATTATTAATAATATTATTATTATTATGGTTATTTATTATTTATTATTGTCATGATTAATTTCTGTTTTGTCTCTTATTTATTTAATCTTTTTTGTTTCTTTTTGTATTTTGTACTTGTTTGTTTCACCTGTTTGGGTGTGCACTGTGCCTGGCTAATTAATTGTTTCCCTCTGTGTTGGGATGGTTATGCAGGCAAGTCTGAGAATGTTCTGAAGAGATTTATTTCAGTGCTACAAATATAAAGAGGAATTAATAACTTTAAACAAAGAAAAAAAAAAAAAAGAAATGAAAAATACGACCTAAAAAATATCTATGTTAAAGCTCCCAGCCTTTGTAAATAAGAATGAGAATGGTAATGATATTTCATTATTATCAATTTTAAGCATTACAGTAATTTTCTTTTCTTTTTATATTTTTCTCATTCATTAATAAAATCACACCAGTGGATTGAAAAATCAATTTGACCGCACTTTTTTTTTTTTTTTCTTTTTTTCCTGTGGTCCTAAAATGCGATACGAGTTATCAGTGTCTTTAACAGTCTTGCCTAAAGCTATGTAGTGCCCTGGGCCAGTCATTGCTGTTTACTCTCGTTTGCTGGATTATGTTTTGTTTCATTTTATTTAATTTTTTTTTGTCTTTTTATGGCTTTCCCTTACAAAAAGAAAGAAAGAGAATGAAAGAAAAAAAGTTAGTCTTTGGAAATGAGGATTAATATTCTTTGTATTGCTAATGCATAATTCTTTTTGCTCCCCATTGTCTGTATATATACATTTTTACACCTTTTTTTTCTTTCACTTTTCTTTGTTTTTGACTTTCATTTTGCTTAAGGAGTGCGTTGTCTCTGTTCACTAGATGAATTTTGTAAGGGAAACTTTTTACATTTAGTTCAGCACTTTAGAGTTTATTAATGTGCTACAAGGTTGTCTGACCATGTCTCTTTATCTGTTTCATTCATGCTATTCTGTCTTATGCATTTATGACTCCAAGGCCATTAGATCTGAATGGGGTTTCAGATTGCCTTTGGTTTGTTGCACTTTTTAAATTTGCTGTGGCTGTTATATGCTGTGGAAGTATTTATCTTAAATGATGAGGCGTACCTCTGCCAGAAGAAGATAAAGGTATTGAATACACAAGTGCTTGATAATGGGAAGACCCCCTGCTTTGAGTTTTAGAGAAGTGAGATTACACATTCAGTTCTTTTCATGCATTAAAAAAAATGAAAAGCCTTGGTATTGCATTTTGATATCAAGTTGCTGCAATATGGTCAGGCAACTGCGGCTATGTGCAGATCCCCTGCTTATTGTGTTGTGATATACCCAGAGTGCCCACCCACCTACCCACCTGGCTAGCACTCTGGGTAGCAGTACTTCCCTATGTGGGTGAATATTGTTTGCTTTGTATTGACCTCTCTCTCTAGGCAGTCCTCTTAAAGAATTATGTTTAAGTTGAAGATTAAGGGAAGAAATGAATAGAATATAAACTTGTGAGAAAGAGAGAGAGAAAATATAAAGAAAAGGAAATATAAACAAAACAATATTTACCCATGTATTTTTTTTTGATATGTGTGTATGTGTCTTCCACTGTGTGTGTGTGTGTGTGTGTGTGTGTCTTTAATTTCTGTGAGCCAGCATGCGGTTACAAGTGTGGCAGTGGTCTAATGAATGTGCGCGCTCGTGTGGCCGTGTGCGCTCCAATGGTCCCCCAGGCCGTCAATCTGGTCAAGGACGGGATGACGCCCGAGGGAAGCCGACGACTCTCAGCCTCAAGGGACAGACTCCGCAGGGGGTCACGAGAGTCCCTCAACTCAGCTGAGTTCGATGCCAACGACGAT